TTGGCAATAATCAAGAGTTTTGTTGCTTTCTCTTGGGGGATCGAAGTCCTTCTTTCTTTCATAGAGTTGTTGATCACTTGAATCCGTGCAGATTATTGTAAGAGGTTAGCACGTATCAACAACTATACCATCCTAAGCAAAGTTTAATCTAGAACGACATTGTCGTATAATGGTAATCAAGGTCGTGTTCTACTAAGATCCCAGGACCGTAGCCTACTTCCCACATAGTTACTAATTAGTTAATCGATTTTTGAGGTTTTGAGTCTAAAGATTGATTAAAGCTAAAAGCAGGTAGTTCGCGGAACTATCCCTCCTCCTAGCTTAGGGTCACTATGCATATATAGATACTTATGGTCATCGAATGTGGTGAGTGAGCTCTTTTCTGTGGGCTCTCGTGACTATCCACACGCCTTCAAGTATGCCCTAAACCCATGTTCCAGTCACCTCAATCTAGGCTATCGTATCTGGGGCATTAAGCTTATGAATCATTTCAATGGACGCTATCCACCGTCCGCACAGAGGTTGCATCCCGAGTTTCATCTAGGAAGGCTACCTATAGCAGGGGTTCAGTCGCCTCGACCACTGTAGGCCTTCGTATCTTAATGCATGTATTTAATTTATTCGGAGCTATTAGAGCGGGATCCAGTTTTTGGGGAATATGAGTCGAAGCAATAACAAGAATATTTCTAGTGGAACATCTTTCACAATCCCTGGAGAGATAGTTCACTAATAGACCGAGGGATAAGTAATTCGACTCATTCACATCCAAATCATGAATGTTTGGAATCCATATTATGCAAGGAGACAATGCTTTTGCTAATTCGAATTGAAGGGTGATATAAAATCGGTCTATTTCCGGTATCATATCCATAGTTAGCGCATTCATCCTAGTTAGAAGCTCCAGCTCCGTATCAAGGTCGATATCGTCACTATCATCAATATCGTCACTATTATCAATAAGAAAACCTTAGGCTTGTTATCCAGGAACTTGTTCAGAAATACTATAATGAAAGGAACATAGGAGTTTGTTGCTAGGTATTTGACCAAATAGGATCGTCCAGTTCCTATGGAACCTATCAATAAAATACCACTAGAGGGGGGATAGGGCGAATTCGGGGCAAAGACGACTGGTGGGGAGGAAGAGGAAAACGCGTCATCGGAGCTAGGGGAGACGTTCGATCTGGACGTTATAGCGGAATCCTGGCCAGCGGGCACGTCGGAGATTCCGTCGGAAGCTGTACCTCCTGGTAGGCCTGTTGCTTCCCTGGGGGAGGAAGCAGGTCCGGCTAATCGGACCCTACCGGTGAACTCCTATCCATATCAATGGAATGAAGTAATAGGGGGTGACTCTGTAGATACGATCAAGCGGCGCCCCAATGTATGGCTAGAAATATCGTAACTGAAGTGCATTGTTGCCCGCGTTCGCCCTATTTCAATTGAAAAGAAATCTACTTTCCTCACCGTTTCTGGGAGAGCGAAAACTTTCCTCGATCGGACGCCCTCCCTATCTATATAGTAAGGGGCCCTTTCTTGCTAGTTTTCCCAATTTTCTCTGGTGGAAGGGAAAGTTATTATCCAAAGGCAGCGAGAAATTACCAGCTATTTATAGATGGTGGAAGAGCAGGGGATAGGCTGATGGGAGAAGGGAAAGGCTTTTGTTTTCACTAGACTGTTTGGAAAAGGTGTTGCGGCGAAGAGATTCTCCAACCTTAGCTCCGAATGCGCTTTTAGCGTCTTGCACGGCTTTCTGGAATGAGCTAAGGCATAGGAATTTGAGGTCAACGATTAGATATCTCCTTCTTGTCGTTCGTTCTAAGCCTACCTCACTTGTCGTTCGCCTGCTACTTGGCGTTAGTGGAATTGTCGTTCTAAGCCATTGAACCAAAGTTGGCCAAGAAGGTTTTGAAAAAAGAAATAGGAGGCGAAGGTTGGTTTAGGCTAAGATGGAGGAAGTGGCAATCCGTCTTTTCAGCAAGTCTTAGCTATTCCCATAAGTCTTCGACTCCCTCCAGATTGTTTGATTTGGCATTTCGAGCAACATGGGCATTACACGGCATACAAGCTGGCCTTATAATGCCAAGGTAGGAATGGAACGAGAATCAGAGGCTGTCTGCCGTAAGGATAGGATAGAGTTCCATACTTTCCACGAAGAAAAGCCGATAGCCACTCGTTCTTTAGGGTCATTACAGTTCCTTCCCGCCACCAACACTTACACACAGCTTCAAATAGAGCGTTGTGTGTAAGTGTCTAGAGCGTTTTACTAACCTAATGATCTCCTGCGCAAGCAGATAAGCTCCTATACAATGTTCTTTAGTTAGACCATCCGTGACCAGTAGGATTACTTTATTAAAGCGTCAAAGGCTGTCTTTCGGTCTTCTACGTTAACTGATAGCTGCTTGTTTTGTTCTATTACCTAGGGCCTTCTTCATTCGCTTGGAATAGCATCTGGATTTGTGACAAAGAGAATGACGGCTAAACCTCCTTGATTCGTTGAAGAAGGTATCAGTCTATCCTATTGAGACTACCGGGAAGAAGAGTCGAGTGTTCAAGTCTGATCCTCTTGTATTGAATACAGTCCCCCTCAAGGGGGAATAAGCACTTTCGGAACCTAGAAAAAAGGAAGCGATGTTAAAGAAAGCCAACACCTAGATAGGCAGCGATAGAGGGGGGAGGGAGGGAATAAAATAGAGCATAGCTCCGTCATTATCCAGGCGCTAAATAATAATGCATACCAACAGCAAACAATTCCAGTGATAGCAGAGATCTGGGACATCTTCACCAGAAATTCCTTCATTTCTAAATTGGTAAACAGCTAACCTGCGACAATAAGAGCTAATATGTGACATCCCTTCTAGTAGTAGGCGAGGCTCGATGTAATTGAGCACGAGCAGAGTTCACTGTCTTGAATAGGAGCAGCTTTAGGGAGTGGGTAAATCATTCGTTCTTAGGGGGTAAGCCCTTCCACTTACGTCGTTCCCTTACGCGTGACCTATTTCCTGTCCTAAAACAAAAGAAAATATCTGTTGGCGAAAGATTCAAACATTCGCTGAACACAAACACAATCTCGATGAGAATCAGTACACGAAAGTCGATTAATCCACGAAGGTATGACACTTCCACACCCTCTGCTAGTTGTTTTCTTCTCTTAAGAGATTTTCGAAAACAAGGGTTCAATGTACATAGACGATCAAGTTACCATAGACAACTCAAATGGATTGGTTGAGTCCATTGACTTAACCCAACCGGTAGTTAAACCCAAGAGAAAGACCTTATCCCACAAGCAGGCGGAATCTAAATCCCAGAAGCTACGCAGGAACGGTAAATCCTAATTACTGAGGTAGTTTAGTGGCTAAATCGACCAATATGGAAGTCAAGCCTACCTTTTTGTATAACCTAGCTGAAGGAGTCCTAAAGCTTATGACGGAAGTCAGAAAAAACCTAAAAGTATAAACCTCAAGCAGGGAAATGGGAAAGAATTAGGTTGGAGGTAAGCGAATACCCTAGGCCATGTCATCCAAGAAGGCCTGCCCTCAACGTGCATCATTTTGATGAAATCACTAAGTCTGGTAGACTTCTGCACATGAAACATGAAAGGCGTAATGATTCAAGATATATTCTGTCAGCTACTGAAAAGAAAGAGACTACATAGGCCGGTCTAAGGTACCTGAACCAAACGATCACAGGAAATAACGGAACAAGTCTGGCCAATAAGCAACAAGCATAGGAGTGTGCTCAAGTGTAAGCGAGCGCTAGGGCTGCAAATGAGCCAAGCCGCTCGGAAAAAAACTCGTTTGACACTCGACTCGTTATTTAACAAGCCGGCTCGCGAGCCAACTCGTTAGTTAACGAGCCAAGCCTGAGCTAGACCATGCTCAGCTTTATAAGCTCGCGAGCTAGCTTGATTCGGTGGCTTGTCGAGCTAAGCTTGCGAGCTGCCTTGTTTTGAGCTTGTGGAAGGATGAATTACTCTTTTAAACATGAACATTATCTTCTAATACAGATGTGTATGAAATTTAGATGTTATTTATAGTTTCTAGTGTTCTTTTTATCATTTAAATTCTTATGTTTATACATTTTTCCAACAAAAATGATTTTAAATCGAGCTCATCTTGAGCCGAGCTTGTACTCAGCTTGACAAGCTCTGTTAATGAGCATTTATCGAGCTCTACCGAGTCGAGCTCGAGCTAGATTATTTTTATTCAAGCCGAGCTCGAGCTGGATTATCAAAATTCGAGTTCGAGCCGAATTCGAGTTCGAGCCGAGCTCGAGCTGAAAAATTAATAAACGAGCCAAGCTCAAACTAAGCAAAAACTTGACTCGACTCGGCTCGTTTGCAGCCCTAGCGAGTACTGTGTTTTATAAAAGAAAGAGAATAGTTACTGGACATTCTTTAATCAAATGCGGATTTTGCCTAAAACCCGAAAGGTAAGAAGCCCTGGGATTAATTCCCGTAGAATTTAAAGGGGAACTTCTTCCGTAGAGGATACAAGTGATGTCGCCGCCCTATGTATGTTGCTTCTCATCGCATCTGAATGGTACCGCAGGATAATCACGAATTGAATGTTGGTCTCCGATTCTCCTTATTCATTTCATGCTGAAATTGTCTCCAAAAAAGGAGATACAATCTAGAAGTTACCACATCTTGAGGTAAATTTGATATTTTTTTTATCATTCCCTTCAATTGAATTGAAAAATCTTAACGCCCTATCCTGCCCTAGGGCGAAATGTTGTGATACCTTTTCGACCCATATGCAGGATATAAAAGAATACACCTAGAGATACTTAGAATTAACAGTGAATCCAAGACAACAACAGAAAGGTTTAAATCGCTTCGTTTTCTATTTTGTATTTAAGATCTTGTATATCTAGTTAAGTATGTATCTATAAAAAATATAGAATAGAACTAGAATCTTTGTATTCGGCTCAATCCTTTTAGCAAAAGATTGGGCCGAGTTTAATTGCAATTCATTCAATTAAGGGAACAAATGTCAATTAGTATATTACAAGGTATCCACTGCTTCGTATTCAAATTGAATCTCCTTCCATACTTCACAAGCAGCAGCCAGTTCAGGACTCCATTTGCTAGCCTCACGAAAAATTGAATTACCCTCACGAGCAAGATCACGTCCCTCATTACGAGCTTGTACACATGGTTCTAGAGCTACTCGATTAGCTACGGCACCGGGTGCATTTCCCCAAGGGTGACCTAAAGTTCCACCGCCAAATTGTAATACGGAATCATCTCCAAAGATCTCGGTCAGAGCAGGCATATGCCAAACGTGAATACCCCCCGAAGCCACGGGCAGGACACCTGGTAGAGAGACCCAATCGTCGAGTTAAATAAATACCATGGCTTCGATCTTTTTCAATAAAATCATCACGCAGTAAATCAACAAAGCCCAAAGTGATCTCTCTTTCCCCTTCGACGTTTACCTACTACGGTACCTGAGTGAATATGATCTCCACCAGACAGACGTAACGCTTTAGCTAGTACACGAAAGTGTATACCATGATTCTTCTGTCTATCAATAACTGCATGCATTGCGCGATGGATGTGAAGAAGTAAACCATTATCTCGGCAATAATGAGCCAAGCTAGTATTAGCGGTGAATCCCCCTGTTAAGTAGTCGTGCATTATGATAGGAACTCCCAATTCTCTGGCAAATACAGCCAGCCCTTTTGATCATTTCTTCGCATGTACCCGCGGTAGCATTCAAATAATGCCCTTAGATTTCCCCTGTTTCGGCCTGTGCTTTATAAACTCGGCAGTTGGCACATACCCGTCTAACCCTAGAACTCCGACCCAGTGCGGTAACATAAGGTAGGCTAAGAGGGAAGATAAGGGCAAATTACCCAAGCATCATCATTTTGAAAAGAGTGGCATTAAAATCAACTAGACAAACACATTCATTCATTCAAACCCTAAAATATCCATATATACATAGTAAATGGGTAAATTGCAAGGTTAGTCACTGAAAGTATTAAAAATTCACGTTCGGTCATTAAAAGTATTTTATTCCATTCATGTCATTAAAAGTGGTTAAACATTTCATGTTTGGTCACTCTCCGTCAATCTCCGTTAACACCGTTAGTATTTTTGCTGACGTGGCTAACAGAAATGTCGATTCACTCTTTTTTAACCCTTCACGGCAGACCCTCTGCATAAACCAACCTAATCCAACCACTAACCCAACCCGACTCGACCCAACCCCAGCCACCACTACCGTCGCCTGCCATTCCGCCTTCCACCATCGTAGCCTTGAGTCTTGACGCCGTTCTCCTACACTTTGTTTGCAAACATAGGCGCCGCCTAGAGTGCTCACTCAATCTTCCCTACGATCGACCAAATCCAACATTCAACACAAACAAAACCCAAAAATGGGCAAAGATGAACCTAAAAATGGAGTACTGGGATTCAGATGTTACCATCAGAAAGCTAGAGAGAAATCTCTGAATTTAGATCTCGGGTATTCTATTTTCAGAGCCGAGTGCTTGAGAACTCACCATTTTCGAACACTAATGAACCATCTTCGGTGGAATTTCGCTTCTGCCACAATGAGCTCCTTCCCTCCTTAGGTTCCTCGGCTTTCTCCTCCACCTGCTGCTCAAGAACTGGAGCGCGTAATTCAGTCACCGGTGTAGCCGTACTTGACAACGATTATATTCCCCCGCATCGGTTGATGGAGGGGAAGGGATTTTGATAATATCTCGACCTTGACCCGCTCAAGGGATTTGGGTTGAGATGCTTAGCCGGAGGGGGGAGGGAACTGCTCGGGAGATTGTTTTGTGTCATGGAAATTCGTGGATTGGAGGATTGAGGGTGTTAAGGATTTGACGGCGGAAGGAGGAGGATTGAAGGTTCGATTTTTTTGGGTTTCGTGGGTCGAGACGGAAGGGTCAAGTTATGGGTTGGGTTGGGTTGTTTGATGTGGCGGATTATGCTGATGTGGTGGGTCGAGTTTTATGAGGCGGAGAGTTAAAATGAGTGAATCAGCATTTCTGTTAGCCACGTCATCAAAATACTAACAGTGTTAACGGAGGTTGACGGAGAGTGACCAAACCTGAAACGTTTAACCACTTTCAATGACCACGAATAGAATAAATACTTTTAGTGACCAAACGTGAATTTTTTTAGCACTTTAAGTGACCAACCTTGCAATTTACCCCATAGTAAATCCCAAAACTAGGGTTTGTGGTTTAGGACCCCTAGTACCTTAGAGGACTACTCCATAAAGGAGGGAAGAAGATACATGGTAGAAATAGAAGAAGACTTGGGGTTGAAGAAGATGCCTTCTTTCTCCTAGATCCTCCTTCTCCTTCTCTTCTCCTTCCTTTAGCTTCTCTCTCTTCTCTCTCTAGAACCTGAGAATTTCTCTCAAAATCAGCTTTCCTAAAAGGGGGAAGGGGGTCTTCTATTTATAGGCAATCTGGACTCGGGGAAATTCGAGGCCTAAGGATGGGAGATCGCGGGCGGGATCTTCTATGGATAGGTCGTGATCTCAAGAGGAAGTCGTCATGGCCTTCTGAAGGGGGAAGATCGCGGGCTGACTATGTGGTCGCGATCCGCAAGTCGTGGCGGGGATCTTCCTCACGGGCAAAGTGAACGTTGGTTGTGATGCGACTAGGGAAACTCTCTGCTCCTTCCATGTGAAGTTCGCTCCCTTGGCCTCCAAGATCACGGTCAGGATTTTTGGCTTCTGAGTCGCGATTATTCAGCTCATCTTCGCGGCTTGTGATCCTGGCCGTGATCTTTGGCTTCTAGGCCACGTCTTCAATTCCTGCTCCTTCTCTACACTTGTGACCTTGTTTTGTACCTAATTTGCACATATTGACTAATACACCCCACCAGAACCTTGCCACGTGATTGTCCAAGAGGCGACAAAGAGGGAGAGGTAACTTGAAGCAGGACCTAACATACAATGGCGGAGTTAAAGCAACTGATTTGATCAATGTCTTCTTAGCTTCCCAAGATAGAGTCCTTTGCTTCCACCCCTGAAGTCGATCTAGCAACTTTTCCTCCAAATATCATAATGTAGCCATTTTCGATTGGGCAACCAGTGCAGGAAATCCCTAATATTTATCTTGGACTCTCACATTCCTGTAAAGAACCTATGAGGAATAAATAAGAGTTGTCTGCAGCAAACAGATGAGAGAACCGTGGCTAGGGGAAACTTTAAACCCCCTCTAGCTTCCCTTCTGAAAATGCTTTCCGAAGGAGCACCCCAAACCCTTTCAAGAAAAGAGGGGATAGTGACCCCCCCCCCCCCCCCCCCCCCCCCCCCGCGGATGAAGACCCCTTAAGGGGACAAAGAACCTTGACAAGGTGCAATTCATAAGGACTTAAAAGGACACAAGGACACTGATCAAAGATATTCTTGTATCCATCCTTTTCGGTTAGAGTTGAATCCTAATTTGTCCAAGATCGCCAGGAGAAACGGCCGTTCGACTATATCGTAGGTTTTTCCCATGTCAACCTTTAGAGTCATTTACCCTTTCTCACCCCTAGTTTTGATTTTCAAAGAGTGCATTAACTCATGTCCGAGAAGGAAATTCTTCACAATTTGTCGTTCACGAATAAAAGAATTTTGTCCTTCCGAAATGACCTGAGGTAGGAAACGGCCAAGCCTTTCAGCCAAAATTTTGGTTATGATCTTATACACAAACTGACATAGGCTTATTGGCGGTATTTGCCTCATGTTCTCAACATTATCCAACTTAGGAATCAGGGTCAGCCAAGTTTGATTAAAGCTTTGGAGAATCTTGCTCGTACTAAAGAAAGAGCCAACTACTTCAGTCATCGAGTCCCCTACAATATTCCAAAAGGTCTTGACAAATTTCCTAGTGAAACCGTCTGAGCCAAGTGTCTTCTTAGATCCCATTGACTACCGTTTTATGGATTTCACTGGGAAGTACTTCTCGAGTAAGACTATCATTCATTTTCATCGTAACACGACGAGCAATTGGCAGATCAGGGATCCTGGCGTCCATATTCAACACTTGATTTTCCGAGGTAAAGAGAGTTTGATAAAAATCTATGGCAATGTCAACCTTTCCCCTCTCCTTAGTGATCCATTCCCCACTATTATTTCGCAGACCAGAAACAAAATTCAACTTCTTCGGATTCTCGCTACCGTATGGAAATACGACCAATGCTTATTTCCTCTCTTAAGCCAACAGACCCTAAATTTTTTTTGCCAATAAATCTCTTCTACCTACCATTGTATGCTCAATTCGGCTTCCACAACCCTGAACTCGTCCCAATTAATTGGGTGAATTAGTTTGATTCGATCAATTTTCGATTGGAGGGTTTTGATGTTGCGAAAAAAATTGGTAGTACCCGCCCTATTCCAATCATAAAGGAAATTATGGAGTTTCTTAAGTCTCTCCCAAAGCCAGAACATAAGAGTGCCCTGGATTTCCTGTTGCCAGACATTTTTCACCATAGCCTTGACCTTCAAATTCATATTATCAGTGGTCAGAGAGTATTAGGACGGTTAATGTTTGACTATCTTTATTTCAGAGTTTCATTGTCTATCATTCGCATGAATCCTTCCCTAGAGAGTGCAAAAAGTTATAGTAAGGAATAAAGATCAATTTACTGCAATAAGGTTTGAACCAACATGATAAATGGGGAATAACCGAATAAAATATCCATCTTTGGCACCATCTAGAGAGTGAAAAAATTTATAGTACGGAATAAATTAAATTCCGGACCAACCAGACTATAGATTACGTAGATATTGATAATAATTAGATTTAAAAACAAATTTAAATAATTACCAACATGAATTTCAAACATGTTGGATGTGAACATCAAATTTTCATGTGTCTTACCAAAATGTTCCGCTTAACTCTGATTTTCTTATCAAACTCCCTACAAAGTTAGTAAACATAAAGATCAATTTACTGAAAATGAAGATAGGATTTACGGACTATACTAACATTTGAAGTACTCAATTAACCATAAAAAAAAATTAAGTACTTTGGTGAAGGAGTTAGGAGTCCACATGAAAACAGAAGTATATGATACAAATATATCTTAACTTAGGGATAAAAAATTACACGGAATTTGGGTGTGTTAAAATATAAAATGGACGTAAATACATGATAATCAATTGGACATATGAGATGTGTTTCATTGCCTTTTTCTTTTCAATATGGCCAATGAAATATTTTTATGCATCAATATGTATTGCTATTTTGGTAGTAGTGAAGTAGTTTCAAATCATGTACAATACCACGCCTAGAGAGTTAAAAGTATGCTAAAATATTCATCCAAAAATGAACTGTTTTGAAATACCTGTCATTCTAGCTACAATTATGTGAATGCTTGTATGAATTGAATGATTTTTGTTTTGGTTGTGTTTAATGTGAATGTGCATGTATTATTCATGAATGATTGTGTTGTGTGAAAGCCTATCAATCTAATTGCCATTCTAACATAGATAGAGAGACCCCCCCCCCCCCTTTCTTTCAATGAAAGAGGCTTGAATGATGGGTTTTCTTAGGCAATTCATTGTCTCCTAGTTAGGTTAATGCAGGGCAAACCTCCTATTTCGTATTAGAACCTAGGGTTTGGTGGTGGGTGGCCATCCTAACTCCGATTCGAGGGTGAAGTCTAACCATTCCTTAGTC